ACACAGCACACACACAGTACACACAGCATATACACACAGCACACACACAGTACACACAGCATATACACACAGCACACACACAGTACACACACAGTACACACAGCACACACACAGTACACACAGCATATACACACAGCACACACACAGTACACACAGCACACACACAGTACACACAGCATATACACACAGCAGACACGGTACGCATAGCATATACACACAGTACACACACAACACAGACAGTACACACAAAGTACACACACAACATGCACACAGAATACTCACACACAGCACACACACAGCACACACACACAGCACGCGTTATGAAGTTTTTGTGAATTCGTGTCGAGTCATGGTGAGTGTGAGCAGAAGCGTCTTGCATTCCTGACGCACATTCACACTCATACACACTCACTTTTACATTCACTCTCACACTCACTCACACTCACTCACACTCACTCTTACATTCACTCTCACACTCATTCACACTCACTTTCACACTCACTCACACTCACTCTCACACTCATACACACTCACTCTTACATTCACTCTCACACTCACTCACACTCATGCACACTCCCTCACGCACTCACACTCATGCACACTCACTCACTCTCACTCAAACTCATACACAATCACACACGCACACACTGACACTCACTCTCTCACACTCACTCACTTTCACACACACACTCATGCACAATCACTCACTCATGCACAATCACTCACGCTCACTCACCCACACACTCACTCACGCACTCAACACACTCACACTCACCCACACTCATGCACACTCACTCAATCACACTCATGTACACTCACTCACACTCACGCACACACTCACTCACGCACACACTCACACTCACTCACTCACGCACACACACGCACTCACACACTCACTCTCACACTCACTCAAACTCATACACAATCACACACGCACACACTGACACTCTCTCACAATCACTCACTTTCACACACACACTCATGCACACTCACTCACGCTCACTCACGCACACACTCACACTCACTCACTCACGCACACACACGCACTCACACACTCACTCTCACACTCACCCACACTCATGCACACTCACTCAATCACACTCATGCACACTCTCTCACACTCACTCACACTCATACACACTCACTCACGCACACACTGACACTCTCACACTCACTCACTTTCACTCACTCACGCACACACTCACTCTGACACTCACGCTCAATCACTATCACTCACACACGCTCACTCACTATCATTATCACTATCACTCACACTCACACACGCTCACTCACTATCATTCACGCACGTTTATTCACTTCAACACTCACTCGAACACTCACTCACAGAGGCTCACTTACACAGTCTCACTATCACTCACACACGTTCTCTAACACTTACTCATGCACACTCACTCACACTCATTATCACTCTCACACTCACTCAAGCACACTCACTCACACACGCTCACTCACTCTCACACTCACTTTCGCACTTACTCATGCACATTCACTCACACTCAATATCACTCTCGCACTCACTCAAGCACACTCACTCACAATCACTCACACACGCTCACTCTCATACTCACTCTCGCACTTACTCATGCTCACTCACTCCATACTCACTCACACCCACTCATGCACACTCAAACACACACTCACGAAGACCTCCCCCCCCCCCCCCCCCCGTATAGCCTGTAACAGACTGTTGGGGCAAGTGCCGTTAGCGAGTCGCACCTACAGTGAGGGAAAAAAGTATTTGATCCCCTGCTGATTTTGTACGTTTTCCCACTGACAAAGAAATTATCAGTCTATAATTTTAATGGTAGGTTTATTTGAACAGTGAGAGACAGAATAACAACAACAAAAATCCATAAAAACGCATGTCAAAAATGTTATAAATTGATTTGCATTTTAATGAGGAAAATAAGTATTTGACCCCTCTGCAAAACATGACATAGTACTTGGTGGCAAAACCCTTGTTGGCAATCACAGAGGTCAGACGTTTCTTGAAGTTAGTCACCAGGTTTGCACACATCTCAGGAGGGATGTTGTCCCACTCCTCTTTGCAGATCTTCTCTAAGTCATTAAGGTTTCGAGGCTGACGTTTGGCAACTCGAACCTTCAGCTCCCTCCACAGATTTTACTTGGGATTAAGGTCTGGAGACTGGCTAGGCCACTCCAGGACCTTAATGTGCTTCTTCTTGAGCCACTCCTTTGTTGCCTTGGCCGTGTGTTTTGGGTCATTGTCATGCTGGAATACCCATCCACGACCCATTTTCAATGCCCTGGCTGAGGGAAGGAGGCTCTCACCCAAGATTTGACGGTACATGGCCCCGTCCATTGTCCCTTTGATGCGGTGAAGTTGTCCTGTCCCCTTAGCAGAAAAACACCCCTAAAGCATAATGTTTCCACCGCCATCTTTGACGGTGGGGATGGTGTTCTTGGGGTCATAGGCAGCGTTCCTCCTCCTCCTCCAAACACGGCGAGTTGAGTTGATGCCAAAGAGCTCCATTTTGGTCTCATCTGACCACAACAATTTCACCCAGTTGTCCTCTGAATCATTCAGATATTCATTGGCAAAATTCAGACGGGCATGTATATGTGCTTTCTTGAGCAGGGGGACCTTGCGGGCGCTGCAGGATTTCAGTCATTCACGGCGTAGTGTGTTACCAATTGTTTTCTTGGTGACTATGGTCCCAGCTGCCTTGAGATCATTGACAAGATCCTCCCGTGTAGTTCTGGGCTGATTCCTCACCGTTCTCATGATCATTGCAACTCCACGAGGTGAGATCTTGCATGGAGCCCCAGGCCGAGGGAGATTGACAGTTCTTTTGTGTTTCTTCCATTTGCGAATAATCACACCAGCTGTTGTCACCTTCTCACCCAGCTGCTTGGCAATGGTCTTGTAGCCCATGCCAGCCTTGTGTAGGTCTACAATCTTGTCCCTGACATCCTTGGAGAGCTCTTTGGTCTTGGCCATTGTAGAGAGTTTGGAATCTGATTGATTGCTTCTGTGGACAGGTGTCTTTTATGCTGGTAACAAGCTGAGATTAGGAGCACTCCCTTTAAGAGTGTGCTCCTAATCTCAGCTCGTTACTTGTGTAGTGGCCTTATTGACGCCGGAGGCTGTTCTTTGGAGGCAACACGTATTTATTACAGACACTTCAATTACAGTGGTGAATCTGATACTTGAAGAGTTAACGGCCTTTTTCACCCGTACTCTATAGAGGGAACGTTCCCCGAGCTTTAGCCCACGCTAGCTCCCTGGTTCCCTCTATCCTGGTCCTCTCTCAGGAGGCTATCTGACCTGGCCCAGCTTCGGCACAGGTCCCGATCACCAGCCACACGAGTCCGGCCCTCAGAAGGACATCGGCCCTCGCGGCTCTGGTGTCGCACCCCCTGGCTTGCTTTGCCCGGCCCTCAAAAGGACAGCGGGCCTAAAGGAGTTCCAGGGTCTGGCTAGTCGGTCTTCTTTCTTCACTGGCTCTTCATCTTGCTTGAGTCGAACTGCCTCTCAGCTCTCCGGGTGCCACCTTTTATACTGTCCCTCACTGAGGGGCGGGGCTGGGAGGGATCACAGCGTCCCCCACAGCCCCCCAGGGTGGTGGCCGTAGCGGAAGTGTTTGTGGCCACCGTTATACAACCGCGTGTCACCCTCCCGTAACACCTCTACACCTCTATAAAAGACACCTGGGAGCCAGAAATCTTTCTGATTGAGAGGGGGTCAAATACTTATTTCCCTCATTAAAATGCAAATCAATTTCTAACATTTCTGACATGCGTTTTTATGGATTTTTGTTGTTATTCTGTCTCTCACTGTTCAAATAAATCTACCATTAAAATTATAGACTGATCACTTCTTTGTCAGTGGGCAAACGTACAAAATCAGCAGGGGATCAAATACTTCTTTCCCCTCACTGTATGAAGGCCGGCACTGTGGCACACGGAGGGGCTGGTGTGACCAGCAACTACTCCCGGCCGCCTTTGTCTCCCCGAGCGGCGATGTTTACACACCGAGACCGGCGGATGCTCATTCGAGGCTGCACGTGGAGGCTGACACGACAGAGGGGGAGGATAACTTTTCCGCTTGCCTTTGCGACTCATCTCACAACATTTAATTTTGTTCAGTTTCCACCACCCCCCCCCCCCCCTCACAACCCTATATTTGAAACCGTGGAGTTACCCTCGGATTCCGAGTCCACGCGACGGCGATAAACCAATGGGAGCTCTCGCCTGAGCCGTTGCCAGGGTAACGGGCCCGCGCACGTGGCCGCCGCAGACCGCCCATTTTTTGGTTACGTCACAGGCGTAACAACAACATCATCGCCGTCACCATCGCTTCCACCACATCATCACCATCGCTGCAACCACATCACCACCGTCACTACCACAGCATCATCATCACTACCACATCATCACCAACACCATCACTATCACATCATCACCACCACCATCACTACCACATCATCACCATGACTACCACAACCATCATCACTACCACCACAACACATCATCCCTACCACAATCACATGAACAGCATCACTACCATAACCACATCATCACCATCACTACCACATCATCACCATGACTACCACAACCATAATCACTATCACAATCACATCCTCACCACCACAAACCAGATCATCAGCATGACTACCATGCCCATAATCACTATTACCACCACATTATCATCACTACCACAATCACATCAACATAATCACTTACATAATCACATCATCACCATCATCACAACCACAACCACATCATCACCATCACTACCACGTCACCACCATCATTACCACATCACCATCACTACCGCAACCTTAATAACTATCATAACCACGTCATCATCATCATCATCGCGACCAGAATCACATCAACACTATCACAACTATATCATCACCACAACCAATACAGCATCAGGATCATCATCATCATCATCATCGTCAAGTGCCGCGAGTAGGAAGCTCTGACAACAACACGAACTTCAAGACGGATTATTTACTTATCTATTTATTTTTAAACACAGGAGAAAGAGGAACATCGCAGGGACATCGCAGGGACATCCGAGGGACATCACAGGGACATCGCAGAGACATCGCAGGGACATCCGAGAAACATCACAGGGACATCACAGAGATATCGTAGGGACATCCCAAGGACATACCAGGAACATCCCAGGGATATCACTGGGACATCCGAGGGACATCGCAGAGACATAGCAGGGACATCACAGGGACATCCGAGGGATATCGCAGAGACATCACAGGGACATCCCTAGGACATGCCAGGGACATCGCAGAGACATCGCAGAGACATCACAGGGACATCTATAGGACATGCCAGGGACATCCCAGGGACATGCCAGGGACATCCCAGGGATATCACTGGGACATCCCAGGGACACCGCAGGTGCATCACGGGGATATCCCAGCCTCAAGCCGTGCAGCTTTGCACCCCTGTACAGCATTCAGGATGTACAGTAGCAGAACGATATGTTGTGCGGCGGTTATGATGATGGTGGTGGTGATGATGATGGTTGTGGTGATATTAATTATGGTGGTGGTGAAGGTGGTGGTGATGACGATGATGGTGGTAATTGTATTCTTCTTAGGTCCACATCACCAGGACTTCTATTGATAGGAGCTGTAAAAAAAAACAGATTTATTTTTAAAATAACATTTTAAATAGTATCTGCATTACAACGCATGAATATCATCATCACCATCATCACAAAGACATCACAGCGACATCGCAGGAACATCCCAGGGACATCACAGAGACATCTCAGTTCCATGGTGGAGCGTGCTGGGTCCCCCTGGTAGAGACTGCTGGGTCCCCCTGGTAAAGAGTGCTAGGTCTCCCTGGTAGAGAATGACAGTTCCATGGTGAAGAGTCCTGGGTCCCCTGGTAGAGAGTGCTGGGTCTCCCTGGTAGAGAATGACAGTTCCATGGTAGAGAGTCCTGGGTCTCTCTGGTAGAGAGTGCTGGGTCTCCCTGGTAGAGAGTGCTGGGTCTCCCTGGTAGAGAATGACAGTTCCATGGTGTGGAGTGATCGGTCCCCTGGTAGAGAGTGCTGGGTCTCCCTGGTAGAGAATGACAGTTCCATGGTGTAGAGTCCTGGGTTCCCTGGTAGAGAGTGCTGGGTCTCCCTGGTAGAGAATGACAGTTCCATGGTGTAGAGTCCTGGGTTCCCTGGTAGATAGTGATCGGTCCCCTGGTAGAGACTGCTGGGTATCCCTGGTAGAGAATGCTGGGTATCCCTGGTAGAGACTGCTGGGTATCCCTGGTAGAGAATGACAGTTCCATGGTGTAGAGTGATCGGTTCCCTGGTAGAGAGTGCTGGGTCCCCTGGTAGAGAGTGCTGGGTATCCCTGGTAAAGAATGTCAGTTCCATGGTGGAGAGTGTAGTGTCCCCTGGTGGAGAGTGCTGGGGCTCTGGAAAGAGAGTGCTGGGTCTCCCTGGTAGAGAATGACAGTTCCATGGTGTAGAGTGCTGGGTTCCCTGGTAGAGAGTGCTGGGTCCCCTGGTAGAGAATGTCAGTTCCATGGTGTAGAGTCCTGGGTTCCCTGGTAGAGAGTGATGGGTCCCCTGGTAGAGAGTGATGGGTATCCCTGGTAGAGAATGACAGTTCCATGGTAGAGAGTGTAGTGTCCCCTGGTGGAGAGTGCTGGGGCTCTGGAAAGAGAGTGGCGGTTCCCTGGTGGAGAGTGCTGGGTCCCCTGGTCGGGAGTGCAGTGGCCCCTGGTAGAGAGTGACGATTTCCTGGGGGGGAGTGCTAGGTCCCCTGGTAGAGAGTGCTGGCTGCTCCTGATAGAGAGTGACAGTTCCATAGTGGAGAGCACTGAGTCCCCTGGTAAGAGAGTAGCTGGTGGCTCACCGCTGAAGAACTGCCCCGAGGAGATTGGCAGAAGCAAATCCGCACACTCGCAGTCGAAACTCACACGAGTCTGAGCGGAATTGATTCAGCTAATCTCACTGGGGATGCGGGGCCGGCCGGGGGACGAAGCAACGGTGATCCCACGCGAGCAGAGGCGACTGCGACGGCCGGAAACAGAATGAGACGCGGGAGATGTGGCGAGTGAGAGAGAGAGAGAGAGTCGAGGGCAGTCGGTGAGAGTCGAGGGGAGACGCGGAGACACCCGGAGAGACTCCAGGAAGCAGTTCATAACGATGACACACGGGGAACAACAAGGAAAGGTTTAAAACATTGTGGCAATACAACAAGTGTCAAGATGTTCCATCACCAAAATGATACACCTTTTTGCAAGGCATCACGTCTGCATTTAGCACACGTACTTGTGGCAAAAAAAAAAACTTGCCTTTAGGCGTTGTTCCATGTTCTAACACCGTTGGAGAGACGAGGCCATGAATAAGGTGGAGGCAAATGAGTTTCAAAGACAATGCTTACATTAATTATTATTATCAAACAGTACGTGTAGTTGATACTTTACTTTTTGATGCCATGCAAAGAGTTGGTGTCCATTTGGCGTTCGAACATCTTAATACGGCTCCTGTGCCATTGCTAGAAACGGCCAAAGCATGATGCGCTTTGGCCGTTTCATCTGTAATACTGGCACAAATGTAAAATAAAAGGTCCCCAGAGATATGAGACGTGGAGAGTTGGCGGGAGATGAGAAGACACGTTAATTTGGGGGAGATAAAACGAGACCAAGAGAGAGAGAGAGATAAGATCGCTAAACCTTCCACTAAGACTAATACCCACTCACTGGCCAGACGCAATGTCACCTTAATAGAGGCTTTTTTTTTAAGAGAGGGGGGGCAGATGAAATCATAGACGTATAAATGTGTCGTTAAATCCGTCACCACTACCAGACACGGCCAATTAAGTAATACTTTGTCACGTGAACAGAACGTGCCAAATAGTTGCGACTTTCAGCACTCAACACTGCCCATACTCAGCATTGCCAATAGACACAACACTGCACCATAGGCCCAACATTGCACCATAGACTCAAGACTGCACCAAACACTCAAGACTGCACCATAGAATAAACGCTGCCCATAGACTCAACACTACCCATAGACTCAACATTGCCCATAAACTCAATGCTGCCCATAGACTCAACGCTGCCCATAGACTCAACACTACCCATAGACTCAACACTGCCCATAGACTCAACGCTGCCCATAGACTCAACACTGCCCATAGACTCAACACTGCCCATAGACTAACACTGCCCATAGACTAACACTATCCATAGACTCAACACTGCCCATAGACTCAACGCTGCCCATAGACTCAACACTGCCCATAGACTCAACACTGCCCATAGATTAACACTGCCCATAGACTAACACTACCCATAGACTCAACACTGCCCATAGACTCAACACTGCCTATAGACTCAACACTGCCCATAGACTCAACACTACCCATAGACTCACACTGCCCATAGACTCAACACTGCCCATAGACTCAACACTACCCATAGACTCAACACTGTCTGTTCTTCTCTCAAAGCCTCTCATCTGTTACATTATAACAATTGTTTTTTTTAACCCTTTTATCTGCAAACAAAACTGAAACCTTTTTTTACAAGGAGTCATGTTTGCATTGACCACAATACCTGCGGTCGGAATGGAAACAAAAAAATAACAACTCTGATAATGTATTGACACTGTCCTTGAAATTGATTGGTCCACACCTGAGACAGCTTTCCTTAGAGCCCAGTCTCACATGGTGTTGGACCAGATGACGCCAAAAGGCGTTGGCGTTTGTGTTGTTGTTGGTGTTTGTGTTATTGTTGGTGTTTGTGTTGTTGTTGTGTTGTTGGTGTTTGTGTTGTTGTTGTTGTTGTTGTGTTGTTGGTGTTTGTGTTCTTGTTGTGTTGTTGGTGTTTGTGTTGTTGTTGTGTTGTTGGTGTTTGTGTTGTTGTGTTGTTGGTGTTTGTGTTGTTGTTGGTGTTTGTGTTATTGTTGTTGTTGTGTTGTTGGTGTTTGTGTTGTTGTTGGTGTTTGTGTTATTGTTGTTGTTGTGTTGTTGGTGTTTGTGTTGTTGTTGTTGGTGTTTGTGTTGTTGTTGTGACGTCTACCGTTCGGGTTGTCTCAGTTCTCATCGCGTGGCTTTCTTCACGAGCTCCAGGGCCTCCACAGGCTCCCATTGCTGCGTGATGGTGTAGAGCTGCGGCACACACACACGCACACACGCACACACACGCACGCACACACACGCACACACACACACGCACGCACACACACGCACGCACACACACGCACACACACACGCACACACACACACACACGCACACACACGCACACACACACGCACACATACACACACGCACATACGCACACACACGCACGCACACACACACGCGCACGCACACACACGCACGCACGCACACACACACACACGCACACACGCACACACACACACACACGCGCACGCACACACACGCACACACGCACGCACACACACGCACACACACGCACACGCACGCACGCACGGACACGCGCACACACGCACACACACACGCACACACACACACGCACACACGCACACACACGCGCACACACGCACACGCACACACACACACGCACACACACGTACACACACGCACGCACGGTGGCGAGTTGTTAACTACAGTACCTCTGATGGTGAGGTCGACTCTGACGGTAAGGACGACTCTGATGGTGACGTCGACTCTGATGGTGAGGTCGACTCTGTTGGTGAGGTCGACTGATGGTGAGGTCGACTCTGATGGTGAGGTCGACTCTGATGGTGAGGACGACTCTGACGGTGAGGACGACTCTGAAGGTGAGGACGATTCTGACGGTGAGGACGACTCTGACGGTGAGGTCGACTCTGATGGTGAGGTCGACTCTGACGGTGAGGACGACTTTGAATGGTGAGGTCGACTCTGATGGTGAGGTCGACTCTGATGGTGAGGTCGACTCTGATGGTGAGGTCGACTCTGATGGTGTGGTAGACTCTGATGGTGAGGACGACTCTAATGGTGAGGTTGACTCTGAATGGTGAAGTCGACTCTGATGGTGTGGTCGACTCTGATAGTGAGGTCGACTGATGGTGAGGTCGACTCTGATGGTGAGGTCGACTCTGATGGTGAGGACGACTCTGATGGTGAGGTCGACTCTGATGGTGAGGTCGACTCACCTTCTGGGGTTGACTGGGATCGATGTTCTCCCACGGAGTGGGGTTCCCTCTCTTATTGACCCTGGGAACACAAAGTCAACAACAACAACATCATCATCACGTGATCTCTCGTCTCTATACTACACTACAAACTGTTTAACTCACTCTGTTGTTGTATCCTCAAATCTTGTAACTCAATGTTAACCCACTTCCCAGTGTGCCATCGACTGCAAACTCGGTATACTTACGTCATACTGATGACAATACTATATTCTATCGTAAAAATGAAAAAATATATATTTTAAAACAATATTTTTTTATATGTAATTTTTCGGCTTTGGTCTAATTGTCCACGCGAAACTGACGTTGGCTGTAAATCACCACCGGTCCCTTATGTTGTGGCAAGCTTCTTCCATTACTCGTACGAAAGCGTGTTTTTAAAAAGTTTTTTTTTAAATTATTACTTATTTCATGGGACCTCCTTTTGCGAGTACCAAACTATAAGAATAGGTTTCATATCTTGGTACTGGCAAAGGAGGTCACATGATGTAGATGCTCACCCCGAGCTCTCATTACCCTGACGGTGGCATTGTCTTTGTGCTGTTCGCCTTTTGGCGTCCTCTGGTCGAACACCGTTTCGAGACGAGGCTCAAAAGAAAGCCGTCTCTGGTGTGTGGACTAATTAGTTTCAAAGACAATGCATCATCTTCTTTGGTTCTTTCGGTAAAGTCACGTAGAATGAGAATAAAATAATAAAGTAATAAAATAAAATAACACAATAAAATTCTCACGACGTCTATTCTCATTCTACGTGGTGACTTTACCGAAAGAACCAAAGAAGATGCATCCTTGCAGTCACGAGAGCTTTAAATCGAAATTCAACAATGCATCGTATTTTATTTTCTACCTACGCGACTTTCCCTAAAACACATTCTCCTGCGGAGGGGAGGGAGCTGGTAGTAGGAACGTTGGGTTGCTCGGTCAATGGCCAGGGTCAACAGCGGAACCACCATGTGGTGTATTCCGCACAATATTGCCCGACCGTGAGGGCGGGCACAAGCCGGCGTGAAGGGTGGGGACCGAGTGGGGACCTGGGATGGTGGAGAGAAAAAAGAAACGCTGTTCCTCAAACAAAAACAGTACAATACCCATCGTGGGGGGGGGTGTTGTTGAACAAGTTGTCATACAATACTTACTCTACCTGGATGTGCATGTACCACCTGAAGCAGCCTCTCCCCCGCCTGAATAGATTTGGTGGCCGCCTTCCCCACCCAGCCCCTCCCCTCTCCACCCAGCGCCACCCCTCCCCACCCAGCCCCTCCCCACCCTCCCCACCCTCCCCACCCTCCCCATCCAGCCCCTCCCCACCCTCCCCACCCTCCCCTCTCCACCCAGCGCCACCCCTCCCCACCCAGCCCCTCCCCACCCTCCCCACCCTCCCCACCCAGCCCCTCCCCACCCTCCCCACCCTCCCCACCCAGCCCCTCCCCATCCAGCCCCTCCCCACCCTCCCCACCCTCCCCTCTCCACCCAGCCCCACCCTCCCCACCCAGCCCCACCCTCCCCACCCAGCCCCACCCTCCCCACCCAGCCCCTCCCCACCCTCCCCATCCTGCCCCACCCTCCCCACCCTTTCCACCCTCCCCACCCAGCCCCTCCCCACCCTCCCCTCCCCACCCAGCCCCTCCCCTCCCATTTTTGGATGCACGACGGACGGACGGACACAATAATCCCCTATGGGCTGCTGGTGGTGTAGTAACCAGGAGGTTCCTACACAGTATAACCAAAGAGTATGGATTCCTGCAATCACGAAAGCTTCGAATCAAGATTGAATGCATCATATTATCAGAGTGTGCTTTTTTGTTTGCATTCTAACCACAGGCATTGTGCTTAGAATGCAGACAATGATGGTCTTGTACACAAAAGGTTTCCAGTTGTGTTGCCAGAAAAACAGGGGGAAAGCCCCCCCCCCCCCTATTCTTACTCATTGGTTCTTTTGGTTAAAGTCACGTGGGTATAAAATAAATCACGACGTTTCGGGCGCAACACAAAGCGTCCTTCATCAGGTGGGTAAGCATGGCCTGCTGCTGATGCAGACTGTTTTTAAAAGCCCCCGATTCTTATTCATATTCTTAGCTAATATATATAAAACAATAAAAATTCTCACGACGTTTCGACCATAACACAAACGGTCGTCATCAGGTGTATCGGTTTGCATTAATTTATATATTTTTAAACGGTGTATTTATTTATTTAAAAACGTCAGCGCCACGCGCAGCGATTTGACAGTTTATTTAGAAGGACGAGTCCATCTATGTTCTGAAAAGAGGAGGGGGGAGACGAAAAATTAATGCACGCTGTCTGAAAGCCACTGTAAGCGTGAACAATCAATTAAGACCTGAAATGGTTCATCAAATCTTTCCAATGATTGCTAAGCCAGAATCCATCTTCTCGGTTGAAATTGTCTCTGTGCTTGCATATGTGGATAGCCTCATGAACGAATCTCTCATGGTAGCCAGATGGCTTATCGTTAAGTTCACGAGCTCAGGCCCCCACTGAGACGCTATGTAGATCTTTTTTAAACGAGCCACCTGGCCATCACGAATGATTGCTCCACCAAAGTGGCTCACCGCAATCGTCATCGTCGTCATCATCGTCGTCACGTGTAAATAAATAGCGGCAGCCAACTACTCTCCAAACGCGCGACGCTGAATCGAGGACGCGGAGGGTGAAACCCGGAGAGGAGCCGGAGAAAAATCCCCGGGGAGAGAGAGCGAGAGAGACACCGCAAGCTCCAACATGATACACCAGCAGGCGCCGTGGGTCGGGATCGAACCCACGCGCCGCTGCTGCTGCTGCTGCTACTGCGTACCAGACGAGGTAGTTGACACCTCCTAGCCACCACAGGCGCCCTTCTCAGCCACTGAAGGGGCACCCCCAGTGGCAGCTGTCCCTGGGTATTAGTGGGCGAGTAGGGGCAGCGATGATTGCTGCTGTGTGGTCTAGCCTAGGGGCACCCCCAGTGGCAGCTGTCCATGTGCATCAGTCTGCTGCCAGTAGGGGTAGCGATGATTGTTGCTGTGTAGTCTAGCCTAGGGACACCCCCAATGGCAGCTGTCCCTGTGTATTAGTGGGCTAGTAGGGGTAGCGATGATTGTTGCTGTTTGGTCTAGCCTAGGGACACCCCCAGTGGCAGCTGTTCCTGTGTATTAGTGGGCCAGTAGGGGTAGCGATGATTGTTGCTGTGTGATCTAGCCTAGGGGCACCCCCAGTGGCAGCTGTCCCTGTGTATTAGTGGGCGAGTAGGGGTAGCGATGATTGCTGCTGTGTGGTCTAGCCTAGGGGCACCCCCAGTGGCAGCTGTCCCTGTGTATTAGTGGGCTAGTAGGGGTAGCGATGATTGCTGCTGTGTGGTCTAGCCTAGGGACACCCCCAATGGCAGCTGTCCCTGTGTATTAGTGGGCTAGTAGGGGTAGCGATGATTGTTGCTGTGTGATCTAGCCTAGGGGCACCCCCGTGGCAGCTGTCCCTGTGTATTAGTGCGCTAGTAGGGGTAGTGATGATTGTTGCTGTTTGGTCTAGCCTAGGGGCACCCCCGTGGCAGCTGTCCCTGTGTATTAGTGGGCTAGTAGGAGTAGCGATGATTGTTGCTGTGTGGTCTAGCCTAGGGGCACCCCCAGTGGCAGCTGTCCCTGTGTATTAGTGGGATAGTAGGGGTAGCGATGTTTGTTGCTGTGTCGTCTAGCCTAGGGGCACCCCCAGTGGCAGCTGTCCCTGTGTATTAGTGAGCCAGTAGGGGTAGCGATGATTGCTGCTGTGTGGTCTAGCCTAGGGGCACCCCCAGTGGCAGCTGTCCCTGTGTATTAGTGGGCGATTAGGGGTAGCGATGATTGCTGCTGTGTGGTCTAGCCTAGGGGCACCCCCAGTGGCAGCTGTCCCTGTGTATTAGTGGGCTAGTAGGGGTAGCGATGATTGCTGCTGTTTGGTCTAGCCTAGGGGCACCCACAGTGGCAGCTGTCCCTGTGTGTCAGTCTGCTGCCAGTAGGGGTAGCGATGATTGTTGCTGTTTGGTCTAGCCTAGGGACACCCCCAGTGGCAGCTGTCCCTGTGTATTAGTGGGCTAGTAGGGGTAGCGATGATTGCTGCTGTGTGGTCTAGCCTAGGGACACCCCCAATGGCAGCTGTCCCTGTGTATTAGTGGGCTAGTAGGGGTAGCGATGATTGTTGCTGTGTGATCTAGCCTAGGGGCACCCCCGTGGCAGCTGTCCCTGTGTATTAGTGGGCTAGTAGGGGTAGCGATGATTGTTGCTGTGTGGTCTAGCCTAGGGGCACCCCCGTGGCAGCTGTCCCTGTGTATTAGTGGGATAGTAGGGGTAGCGATGATTGTTGCTGTGTGGTCTAGCCTAGGGGCACCCCCAGTGGCAGCTGTCCCTGTGTATTAGTGGGCCAGTAGGGGTAGTGATGATTGTTGCTGTGTGGTCTAGCCTAGGGGCACCCCCAGTGGCAGCTGTCCCTGTGTATTAGTGGGCTAGTAGTGGTAGTGATGATTGCTGCTGTGTGATCTAGCCAAGGGGCACCCCCAGTGGCAGCTGTCCCTGTGTATTAGTGGGCTAGTAGGGGTAGCGATGATTGTTGCTGTGTGGTCTAGCCTAGGGGCACCCCCAGTGGCAGCTGTCCCTGTGTATTAGTGGGCTAGTATGGGTAGCAATGATGGTTGCTGTGTGATCTAGCCTAGGGGCACCCCCAGTGGCAGCTGTCCCTGTGCGTCAGTCTGCTGCCAGAAGGGGTAGCGACGATTGCTGCTCTGTGGGTCTGTGGCCTAGGGGGCACCCCCAGTGGCAGCTCTCCCTGTTCACGCGCGCGGCGTTTAAACCTCAGCGGTCGGCCGTGGCCCCGGCGCGCCCATTATGGTGTCGCTGGGAACGAGAGAGGGGAACCCACAGGCCCAGGGCCTGAACCCAGCTACTCAGCAGTGTCGGCGCACTGTCTGTGAGATGACAGAGAGGGAGAGAGAAAGTAAGGGTAGATAGAGAGGGGAGAGATGATAAAGAGAGAGAGGGGGAAGAGAGGAGAGAGAGAGAGAAGACACGAGCTGCCGTCGGAGGACATAGGACTGCGAGGAGTGCTGGATGCAGCACTTGTCGTAGTTACAAAAAAAACATTACATAGAAAACAGGGGGAACAGAGAGAGGGAGATCGAGAAAAGAGAGCGGAGAGAGAGAGAGAGAGAGACTCACACGACGTCGCTCTTCGTGAGGAGGCTGTAGATGCCCATGAGGACTCCTCCTCCGACCGTAAATCCCAGGAACACCACAATGGGGATCACCTGGAGACACGGAGACACGGGGAGACACAGAGACACGTGGAGACACAGAGATACGGAGAGACACAGAGACACGGGGAGATAAGGGGAGACACGGGGAGACACGGAGACACGGGGAGACACAGAGACACAGACACGGAGACACAGAGACACGAGGAGATAAGGGGAGACACAGAAACACGGAGAGACACAAAACACGGGGAGATAAGGGGAGACACGGGGAGACACAGAGATACGGGGAGACACAGAGACACAGAGACACGGGGAGACAGAGAGACACAGGCATAAATGACAACCCTCGGTGCTTGTGAATGATGGGATAAGTCCAAAGATGGCCCGTATAGCCCACACAGACACCCGGGCCAAGTACCGTGAGCACGAGCACCTCACGAGGGCACGAGGTGGCCAGCACCACGCCCGACCGCCTTTGTCTCTCCGAGAATATATAAATGGCACACATTTGAGGCCGAGTCTACCTAGGGGGAGGCCACGGAAACCCCCTTCGATTAATCGTCACCGGTGGTGGCGATGCCGGCGGCCGCGAGAGGGAATCGAACCCGGGTCTCTTGGCCCGGTTGTGTGGCCGCGGTGCAGCGCGCTAACCGCTGCGCCACCGCTCCCCCACACCCCACAGACACAAAGGCAAAGGTAGCGGAGTCATCGTGAGTGGGCAAAGGGAGCCTCAAGCCGTCTCGCATTCCTCGGCCCGTCAAACAACGACACAGACTCACACAGATCCCCTCCCACTCACTCACACACTCGCATACTCACTGTCCCACACTCACTCAATCACTCACTCTTTACACACTCAATCATTCACTCACACTCTATCACTCACTCACACTCTATCACTCACTCACTCACACTCATACACTCACACACTCACTCATACACTCACACACACTCACTCACACACTCATACACTCACACAGATCCACTCCCACTCACTCACACACTCGCATACTCACTGTCCCACACACTCACTCAATCACTCACTCACTCTTTACACACTCATACACTCACACACACTCACACACTCACTGTCCCACACACTCACTCAATCACTCACTAAACACACTCAATAATTCACTCACACTATCACTCACTCACTGTCTTACACACTCACTCAATCATTCACTCACACACTCAATCACTCACTCACACTATATCACTCACTCACATACACACACTCATACACTCACACTCACTCATACACTCACACACACTCACACACTCACTGTCCCACACACTCACTCAATCACTCACTCACACACTGAATCAATCACTCACACAATCATTCACTCACACTCTATCACTCACTCACACACACGCATACACTCACACAACAACAACCGCCATTCGCCACTAAGTGGCGGTGACGTCACCACGACGCTTGTGCCAGGCTATGTGCACCTTGAGGCCACGTGAAGTGTCGAACGCCCGCTGGCAGGAGGTCACGGGGCAGACCCAGGTGCCACGGGTCGACTGACTGAGATGACTGGCTGATGCACCACCTGTGCCCCCTACTGTGTCAACCTGCTGTGCTTTAGCCACCCGGCGCTCCGCTCGTTGTTGTGAGCGTCGCTCCTCCGCCCTCCGTTGTTGTTGGAGGGCGACTGCCTCCAACTGCCCAGTAGCATCCTTCACGAGCCTCCTCCACAGAGGCCGATCTTGACACCGCTGGTACCAGTCATCGGCAAGTCCACTCAGCTCCACGTCCTCCTGTACCACATCACTCCATCTCCTCTCTAGCCCGTGCCGCGCCCGCTTAGCCCCCTCAATCCGGCCAAACAAAAGCTGTTTCGGCATGCGGTGGCTGGGCATGCGGGCTACATGACCCAGCCATCGCAGCCTTGCCTGCCGGAGGAGCTCAACGATGGGACCCTGCCCAGATCTTTCAAGGATTTGTGAGCTCCTCACACAATCCAGTCTGGTTAAACCCAGGATGGATCGTAGGCAGGCCAGCCTAAATGTTTCTAACCGGCGAAGATGTTCCATTAGGGTGGGTCCATGTTTCGCAAGCATAGATAAGGGAGGGAATGACACACGAACACACACACACACGCGTAAACACACACACACGTACACACACACACGCGCGCAAACACACGCGTACACACACACACACACGAACACACACACGCGTACACACACACGCGTACACACACACGTACATATACACACGTGCACACACACGCGAACACACACACGAACACACACACGAACACACACACGCGCGCACACACACGCGTACACACACACGTACACACACGCGTACACACACACGCGTACACACACACACGCGAACACACACACGCGTACACACACACACGCGCGCACACACACACGTACACACACACGAACACACACACACGCGTACACACACACGCGTACACACACACACGCGCACACACACACACGCGTACACACACACGCGCGCGCACACACACACACGTACACACACACGAACACACACACACGCGTACACACACACACACGCGCACACACACACGCGTATACACACACGCGCACACACACACACGCACGTACACACACACGCGTACACACACACGCGAACACACACACGCGCACACACACACACGCGTACACACACACGCGCGCGCACACACACACACGTACACACACACGAACACACACACACGCGTACACACACACACACGCGCACACACACACGCGTATACACACACGCGCACACACACACACGCACGTACACACACACGCGTACACACACACGCGAACACACACACACGAACACACACACACGTACACACACACGAACACACACACACACGCGTACACACACACGAACACACACACACACGCACGTACGCACACAGAATGCTGTGTGCATGGACACTCGTCCCGCGGCTGTATCTCGCCGCGTGATCTCTCGATTGGGAAAGTGGCGCTTTGGGGGGGGGCAACAGGCGGAGAGCGACTCGAAGTCGCGAGCGGGGAGCGGTGGGGCAGTGGTCGCGAGCGGGGAGCGGTGGGGCAGTGGTCGCGAGCGGGGAGCGGTGGGGCAGTGGTCGCGAGCGGGGAGCGGTGGGGCAGTGGTCGCGAGCGGGGAGCGGTGGGGCAGTGGTCGCGAGCGGGGAGCGGTGGGGCTGTGGTCGCGAGCGGGGAGCGGTGGGGCTGTGGTCGCGAGCGGGGAGCGGTGGGGCAGTGGTCGCGAGCGGGGAGCGGTGGGGCTGTGGTCGCGAGCGGGGAGCGGTGGGGCAGTGGTCGCGAGCGGGGAGCGGTGGGGCTGTGGTCGCGAGCGGGGAGCGGTGGGGCTGTGGTCAGTCCCGCACGGAGACGACCACGAACCCCGCTGACCCGAGTTCGAGATATCGCTCGCGATCAATGACAATGGGGACTGGGAGACGCGGGGTGGGGGGGGGGGAGACGCGGGGAGGGAGACACGGGGGGGGGGGTAGGGAGACACGGGGGGGTAGGGAGACACGGGGGGGGGGGAGGGAGACACTGGGGGGGTAGGGAGACACGGGGGGGGGGGGGGGAGGGAGACACTGGGGGGGTATGGTGACACGGGGGGGGGGGGGTAGGGAGACACGGGGGAGGGGGGAGACGCTTGGAGGGAGACACGGGGGGGGGGTAGGGAGACACGGGGGGGGTAGGGAGACACGGGGGGGGGGAGGGAGACACGGGGGAGGGGGGAGACGCTTGGAGGGAGACACGGGGGGGGGTAGGGAGACACGGGGGGGGGTAGGGAGACACGGGGGGGGGAGGGAGACACGGGGGAGGGGGGAGAGACGCTTGGAGGGAGACACGGGGGGGGTAGGGAGACACGGGGGGGGGGAGGGAGACACGGGGGAGGGGGGAGAGACGCTTGGAGGGAGACACGGGGGGGGGGGGGGGTAGGGAGACACGGGGGGGGGAGGGAGACACGGGGGAGGGGGGAGAGACGCTTGGAGGGAGACACGGGGGGGGGGTAGGGAGACACGGGGGGGGGACGCGGCTCCCACCTCCTTCCTCTTGAGTAGAAACTTGGTCACGGGGCCCATGGCTCTCGTCGCGCTCCGCTGGTGCCGCAGCTGCCTGCGCGCGGGCAAGGAGAGGCGGCACGGAACGTCGGACAAGACGAGGCGCGTCAAACCCTGCCGAGGCTGTGACCGGCAGGCCTCGTGAGGCCTGGATCCTTCCCCCGCCTCCCAGCGTCGCGATGCGACTTTGGAATTCTCCGGCTGAGTGTCGCGACAGACGCTGCAAGATCAGAGGCACTGCGCACTGAGAGTAATGATGATGATGAGGGTAATGATGATGATGAGGGTAATGATGATGAGGGTAATGATGATGATGAGTAATGATGATGATGAGGGTAATGATGATGATGAGGGTAATGATGATGATGAGGGTAATGATGATGAAGGTAATGATGATGATGAGAGTAATGATGATGAGGGTAATGATGATGATGATGAGTAATGACGATGATGAGAGTAATGATGATGAGAGTAATGATGATGATGAGGGTAATGATGATGATGAGGGTAATGATGATGATGAGGGTAACGATGATGATGAGTTTAACGATGATGATGAGGGTAATGATGATGATGATGAGTAATGACGATGATGAGAGTAATGATGATGAGAGTAATGATGATGATGAGGGTAATGATGATGATGATGAGAGTAATGATGATGATGAGAGTAATGATGATGATGAGGGTAATGATGATGAGGGTAATGATGATGATGAGGGTAATGATGATGATGAGGGTAATGATGGGGGGTGGGGGGGGGGGGTAAGGTCACGTAAATAAATAAATGTTGTGTCGTTAAACCCACCACCACCACCCAACACAGCCAATTAGTAAAGGGTTTGTCACGTAAACAGAACGTAGCCAATTTGTCACTAGTACAGCACTAGTGTATAGTGTAGTGTATGGGTTAGTGTATAGTGTTGTAGTGTATCGTAGTGTGTAGTGTAGTGTATAGTGTAGTGTATAGTAGTGTATAGTGTAGTGTATAGTGTAGTGTATAGTAGTGTGGTGTATAGTGTAGTGTATTTTAGTGGTGTATAGTGTAGTTTATAGTGTAGTGTACAGTGTCGTATATAGTGAAGTGTATAGTAGTGTAGTGTATAGTGGTGTATAGTAGTGTATAGTGTAGTGTATAGTAGAGTGTATAGTAGTGGTGTATAGTGTAGTGTATTGTGTAGTGTATAGTGAGTGTATATTGAGTGTATAGTGGAGTGTATAGTGGTAGTGGATAGTGTAGTGTATAATAGTGTATAGTGTAGTGTATAGTAGTGTTGTGTATAGCGTAGTGTATAGTGTTGTGTATAGTAGTATAGTGTATAATAGTGGTGTATAGTAGTGTAGTGTATAGTAGTGTAGTGAATAGTAGTGTATAGTGTAGTGTATAGTGTAGTGTATAGTGTATAGTAGTGGTTTATAGTGTAGTGTACAGTAGTAGTGTAGTGTAGAGTATTGTAGTGGTGTATAGTAGTGGTGTTTAGTGTAGTGTATGGCAGTGTAGTGTATAGTGTAGTGTATAGTGGTATTGTATCGTAGTAGTGTATAGTGTAGTGTATAGTGTAGTGTATAGTGTAGTGTATAGTAGTGTAGTGTATAGTGTATAGTAGTGTATAGTAGTGTATAGTGTAGTGTATAGTAGTGTATAGTAGTGTAGTGTATAGTGTAGTGTAGTATATAGTAGTTTAGTGTATAGTAGTGTATAGTAGTGTAGTATATATTACTGTAGTGAATAGTAGTGTATAGTGTAGTGTATAGTGTAGTGTTTAGTGTAGTGTATAGTAGTGTATAGTGTAGTGTTTAGTGTAGTGTAAAGTAATGTAGTGTATAGTGGAGTGTAGTATATATTAGTGTAGTGTATAGTAATGTATAGTGTAGTGTATAGTAGTGTATAGTAATGTAGTGTATCGTGTAGTGTATAGTAGTGTATAGTAGTGTAGTGTATAGTGTAGTGTAGTATATAGTAGTGTAGTGTATAGTAGTGTATAGTGTAGTGTATAGTAGTGTATAGTAGTATATAGTAGTGTAGTGTATAGTGTAGTGTAGTATATAGTAGTGTAGTGTATAGTAGTGTATAATGTAGTGTATAGTAGTGTATAGTAGTGTAGTGTATAGTGTAGTGTAGTATATAGTAGTGTAGTGTATAGTAGTGTATAGTGTAGTGTACTAATAGTACAGCACCACGGGTGTGTGTGGGAGAGCCAAGCCACAACATTTACAATCTGTGTTACGACGTTTCGCCAGTAATTACAACCAGCTTCAGGTTGACAGCCAGATTTGTGGAGAAATTACTAATTGTTTGTGTCGGGTGGTGGCGGGTTTGATGACACATCGTCATCATCGTCACCATCGTCATCATCGTCACCATCGTCACCATCATCATTATCATTGTCATCGTCACCATCGTCATCGTCACCATCGTCATCGTCACCATCATGACCATCATCGTCATCGTCATCATCGTCACCATCGTCACCATCGTCATCGTCACCACCATCGTCATCGTCACCATCGTCATCATCGTCACCATCGTCATCATCGTCACTATCATTGTTACCGTCACCATCGTCATCGTGACCATCATCGTCATCGTCACTATCATCGTTACCGTCACCATCATCATCGTCACCATCATCATCGTCACCATCGTCATCGTCACCATCATCATCGTCATCGTCACCATAATCATCGTCGTCACCATCATCATCGTCACCATTGTCATCGTCACCATCGTCATCATCGTCACCATCGTCACCATCGTCACCATTGTCATCGTTACCATCGTCATCATCGTCACCATCGTCACCATCGTCATCGTCACCGTCATCATCGTCACCATCATCATCGTCACCATCGTCATCGTCACCATCGTCATCGTCACCATCATCATCGTCACCATCATCATCGTCACCATCGTCATCGTCACCATCATCACCATCGTCATCGTCATCATCGTCACCATCGTCATCGTCACGCGCTTTTCCGGCCCGTCTGGAACGCTCTTCTGATACGATGGAGGCTCACTGGGAGCTGTGATGCCACTGTGAAATCATCACCACTATCAACACCACCACGACCATCACCACCATCATCACCATCACCACCATCACCACCACCATCACCACCATCATCACCATCACCACCATCACCACGACCATCACCACCATCATCATCATCACCATCACCACCATCACCATCACCACCATCACCACCACCATCACCACCATCACCATCACCACCATCACCACCATCACCACCACCACGACCATCACCACCACCATCACCATCACCACCACCACCATCATCACCATCACCACCATCACCACCATCACCACCATCACCATCACCACCATCACCACCATCATCACCATCACCACCATCACCACCACCATCACCATCACCACCATCATCACCATCACCACCATCACCACGACCATCACCACCATCATCATCATCACCATCACCACCATCACCATCACCACCATCACCACCATCACCATCACCACCATCACCACCATCACCACCACCACGACCATCACCATCACCACCACCACCATCATCACCATCACCACCATCACCACCATCACCACCACCATCACCACCATCACCATCACCACCATCATCACCACCACCACCATCACCATCCATTCATGCGATCGAACTGTAAAAACAACCTCCCTCTATTATGGATGATATTGGTCGCGAAAGCCCGCTAAGTGATACTGATCGTCATCTCGATTGACAAATTCATTTCTTTAGAACTGTTGTTGTATTTAGCACGTTTGGCTACGTACGGTGCGAAATAAATTCAACGGACATACATACACACAGTTGCCTACGTACGGTGCGAAAGAAGGTCAACGTACACGCATGCAAACGCATAAATTTTGTACCGGTAATTCTCATAACAGGTTACCAGCAGCCCCGAACCACCAAAGTTCTAACTCGACACATGTTACACGTGTACACACACGTGTACACACACACACGTGTACACACACACACGTGCACACACACACACACACGTGTACACACACGTACCTGTATTTGTAGCGAGTGATCCACACACACACGTGTACACACACGTGTACATACACACACGTGTACACACACACACATGTAGCTGTGTATGTAACCAGGAATCCACGCACACACGTGTACACACACGTGTACACACACGTGTACACACACGTGTACACACACGTGTACACACACGTGTACACACACGTGTACACACACGTGTACACACACGTGTACACACACGTGTACACACACGTGTACCTGTATATGTAGCGAGTGATCCACACACACACGTGTACACACACACGTGTACACACACACGTGTACACACACACGTGTACACACACACGTGTACACACACACGTGTACACACACACGTGTACACACACACGTGTACACACACACGTGTACACACACACGTACCTGTATATGTAGCGCGTGATCCACACACACACACACACACGTGTACACACACGTGAACACACACGTGAACACACACGTACCTGTATATGTAGCGAGTGATCCACACACACACACACGTGTACACACACATGAACACACACCCCGGTTGCATGCGAATTTATACTCCGCTCAGAGCTGGGAAGTAGGCGTAACCCGTCTTATCCTGCCCACGTGTTGTCACACTTACACACTTACACACACACACTTACACACACACTCACGTACACACTCACACTTACACACACACTCACACGTACACACTCACACACTTACACACACACGTACACACTCACTTACACACTCACACACTTACACACACACTCACACACTCACACTTACACTCACACGTACACACTCACACACTTACACACACACTCACACACTTACACACACACTCACACGTACACACTCACACACTTACTTACACACTCCCACACTCACTTACACACACTTACACACTCACTTACATACTTACACACTCACTTACACACTTACACACACACACACACTCACGTACACACTCACACTTACACACACACTCACACGTACACACTCACACACTTACACACACACGTACACACTCACACACTTACACACACACTCACACACTTACACACACACTCACACGTACACACTCACACACTTACACACTCCCACACTCACTTACACACACTTACACACTCACTTACATACTTACACACTCACTTACACACTTACACACACACTTCCACACTTACTTACACACTCACACACTTACACACACACTCACTTATACACTCACACATTCACACACTTTAACACACACACACACACGTAAACACTCACTCAGACACTCACACACTTACTTACAAAGACAAAGATCCCCCGTATAGCCTTAACAGACTGTAGGGGGCAAGTGCTGTTAGCGAGCACCTATGAAGGCCGGCACGGTACACGAGGGGGTGGGTGGCCAGCAACCACGCCCGACCGCCATTGTCTCCCCAGTGACGATGTTTTTATCCACCGCACCAGGTACTCATTTGAGGCTGAGTCGACCTACACACACACACTTACACACACACGTACACACTTACACACTCACTTATATACACTCACACATTCACACACTTTAACACTCACTCACACACTCACACTCACTTACACACACTCACTTACACACACTCACTTACACACACTCACTTACACACGCACTTACATACACACTCACTTACATACACACTCACTTACACACTTACACGTACACACTCACACACTTACACACTCACACTCTTACACACACCCTTAAAGACTCACACAATCACACACTTACACACACACTCACACGTACACACTCGCACACTTACTTACACACTCACACTCTTACTCACACACTCACTTACAAACTTACCGACTCACACACGCACACACTTACACACACACTCACACACGTACACACTCACACACTCACACACTCACTTCCACACTCACACACTCACTTACACACTCACTCACTTACACACACACTCACACACTCACACACGTACACACTCACTCACTTACACACACACTCACACACTCACACACTTACTTACACACTCACACACGTACACACTCACATACTTACACACTCACACACTTACTTACACACTCACACACTTACACACTCACACACTCACTTACACACTCACTCACACATGTACACACTCGCACACTCACACATTTACACACACTCTCACTCACTCACTTGTACACTCATACAAAGATCTCCCGTGTGGCCTTAACAGACTGTTGGGGCAAGTGCTGTTAGCGAGCACCTATGAAGGCCGGCACGGCACACGAGGGGGTGGGTGGCCAGCAACCACGCCCGACCGCCTTTGTCTCCCCAGTGGCGATGTTTACTACACACCGCACCGGGTACCCATTTGAGGCCGAGTCGACCTAGCGGAGGCCCAGGACCGGTTCTGACAATACGTCAGAACCGGTCCTGGGCGGCCGTGAGCGGGAATAGAACTCGAGTGGCCGGGTTCGTGACGCAGTGCAGCGCAGCGCGCTAACCGCTGCGCCACCGCTCCCCCACTCGCTCCCCAACTCACCACGTGGGTTTACGAGAACAACAACAACAACCACAACATGCTCAGCCCGTTCGGGCGCACGGACATTCGACGTTCCCATGGACGGGGCCGCGTCTGTCGAAGGGGGTTCGCGTGCGAGTAGGAGGCGTCGCTGGCGGGGGAGGGGATGAGGAGGAGGCGTGGGGGGTGGGACGCAGTGGCTTCTAGAAATGGAGGGGGATACAAAGACGGCGAGGAGGAGGAGGAGGGCGGAGCGCTGCGTGGCCGTGACTGAGCAAGAAATACGCGGGAGGGAGAGAGAGAGAGGGTGAGAGAGAGGGTGAGCGTGAGAGAGAGGGTGAGTGGGTGAGTAAGTGTGAGAGAGGGAGTGTGTGAGTGAGTGTGAGTGAGTGTGAGTGATTGACAGACAGGGTGAGTGAGTGTGAGAGGCAGGGTGAGTGAGTGTGAGAGAGAGGGTGAGAGGGAGGGTGAGTGGGTGAGTAAGTGTGAGAGAGAGAGTGTGAGTGAGTGTGTGAGTGTAAGAGAGAGTGTATGAGTTTGAGAGGGAGTGTGAGTGAGTGTTAGTGAGTGTTTGACAGACAGGGTGAGTAAGTGTGAGAGAGAGAGTGCGAGTTAGTGTGTGAGTGTAAGAGAGAGTGTATGAGTTTGAGAGAGAGTGTGAGTGAGTGTGAGTGAGTGTTTGACAGACAGGGTGAGTGAGTGTGAGAGAGAGGGTGAGAGGGAGGGAGAGTGGGTGAGTAAGTGTGAGAGAGAGAGAGTGCGAGTGAGTGTGTGAGTGTAAGAGAGAGTGTGTGAGTTTGAGAGGGAGTGTGAGTGAGTGTGAGTGAGTGTTTGACAGACAGGGTGAGTGAGTGTGAGAGAGAGGACGAGTGAGAGGGTGAGCGTGAGAAAGAGGGTGAGTGGGTGAGTAAGTGTGAGGGAGGGAGTGTGAGTGAGTGTGAGTGAGTGTTTGACAGACAGGGTGAGTGAGTGTGAGAGACAGGGCGAGTGAGTGTGAGAGAGAGGGTGAGAGGGAGGGTGAGTGGGTGAGTAAGTGTGATAGGGAGTGTGAGTGAGTGTGTGAGTGTAAGAGAGAGTGTATGAGTTTGAGAGAGAGTGTGAGAGAGTGTGAGTGAGTGTTTGACAGACAGGGTGAGTGAGTGTGAGTGAGTGTGAGTGAGTGTTTGACAGAGAGGGTGAGAGAGAGGGTGAGCGTGAGAAAGAGGGTGAGTGGGTGAGTAAGTGTGTGAGAGAGAGTGTGAGTGAGTGTGTGAATGTAAGAGAGAGTGTATGAGTTTGAGAGAGAGTGTGAGTGAGAGAGAGTGTGAGTGAGTGTTAGTGAGTGTGAGTAAGTGTGAGTGTTTGACAGACAGGGTGAGTGAGTGTGAGAGACAGGGTGAGTGAGTGTGAGAGAGAGGGTGAGAGAGAGGGTGAGTGGGTGATTAAGTGTGAGAGAGAGAGTGTGAGTGAGTGTGAGTGAGTGTTTGACAGACAGGGTGAGTGAGTGTGAGAGACAGGGTGAGTGAGTGTGAGAGAGAGGGTGAGAGGGAGGGTGAGTGGGTGAGTAAGTGTGATAGGGAGTGTGAGTGAGTGTAAGAGAGAGTGTATGAGTTTGAGAGAGAGTGTGAGAGAGTGTGAGTGAGTGTTTGACAGACAGGGTGAGTGAGTGTGAGTGAGTGTGAGTGAGTGTTTGACAGAGAGGGTGAGAGAGAGGGTGAGCGTGAGAAAGAGGGTGAGTGGGTGAGTAAGTGTGTGAGAGAGAGTGTGAGTGAGTGTGTGAATGTAAGAGAGAGTGTATGAGTTTGAGAGAGAGTGTGAGTGAGAGAAAGGGTGAGTGAGTGTTAGTGAGTGTGAGTAAGTGTGAGTGTTTGACAGACAGGGTGAGTGAGTGTGAGAGACAGGGTGAGTGAGTGTGAGAGACAGGGTGAGTGAGTGTGAGAGAGAGGGTGAGAGAGAGGGTGAGTGGGTGAGTAAGTGTGAGAGAGAGAGTGTGAGTGAGTGTGTGAGTGTAAGAGAGAGTGTATGAGTTTGAGAGGGAGTGTGAGTGAGTGTTAGTGAGTGTTTGACAGACAGGGTGAGTGAGTGTGAGAGAGAGGATGAGTGAGAGGGGTGAGCGTGAGAAAGAGGGTGAGTGGGTGAGTAAGTGTGTGAGAGAAAGAGAGTGTGAGTGAGTGTGTGAGTGTAAGAGAGAGTGTATGAGTTTGAGAGAGAGTGTGAGTGAGTGTGAGTGAGTGTTTGACAGACAGGGTGAATGAGTGTGAGAGACAGGGTGAGTGAGTGTGAGAGAGAGGGTGAGAGGGAGGGTGAGTGGGTGAGTGTGAGAGAGAGAGTGTGAGTGAGTGTGTGAGTGTCAGAGAGAGTGTATGAGTTTGAGAGGGAGTGTGAGTGAGTGTGAGTGAGTGTTTGACAGACAGGGTGAGTGAGTGTGACAGACAGGGTGAGTGAGTGTGAGAGAGAGAGGGTGAGTGAGAGGGTGAGCGTGAGAAAGAGGGTGAGTGGGTGAGTAAGTGTGAGAGAGAGTGTGAGTGAGTGTGTGAGTGTAAGAGAGAGTGTATGAGTTTGAGAGAGAGTGTGAGTGAGTGTGAGTGAGTGTTTGACAGACAGGGTGAGTGAGTGTGACAGACAGGGTGAGTGAGTGTTTGACAGAGAGGGTGAGAGAGAGGGTGAGCGTGAGAAAGAGGGTGAGTGGGTGAGTAAGTGTGAGAGAGAGTGTGAGTGAGTGTGTGAGTGTAAGAGAGAGTGTATGAGTTTGAGAGAGAGTGTGAGTGAGTGTGAGTGAGTGTTTGACAGACAGGGTGAGTGAGTGT